TTTCAGGAAACAGGTTTTTGTGTTTTGGTTTTGGTGCTGGGGATTGAATCCAGGGCCTTATGCATGCTAGGCAAGCACTCTACCACTGAGCTATATCCCCACTTCAGGAAAGTCTTAAAGAAGGAAACAGACCTAGACTCTGATTTAGTACCCTAGAACTAGGCATCTGAAGGCACATTCTTTCCCTGTGGCATATATGCAGACTTTCTTTGCACTGCTGCCCCTTCTCAGAGGCTTTGCTATATAGCATGATGGTTTAGAACAACAACCAATGGCTTCCCACAAAGACACATAATTAAATGGTAACAGGGAACCTGAAGTTCCATATGAGGGATTCTTCTCCAGAGCATTTCATAGCAAAACTGATTATGTTACTCTTCCAATAAAAACTTTCAGGGATAGCTGGGGTTGTAGCTCAGTGGTAGGGCGCTTGTCTCAGACCTGTGAGGAACCGGGCTCAATTCTCAGCACCACATAAAAATAAATAAATAAAATAAAGATATTGTATTTATCTACAACTACAAAATATTTAAAAAAAAAAAACTTTCAGAGACTCCTAACGAACATTCTTATTGTTGTAGCAAGCAAAACAAATTATTTCACTTTAGGAAAATAGATAACTGCAAATCTGTAATAAGCTTTTCACTTGGCAGTATGTATGTCATTCTAGTTTTTGTTGTTGTTGTTGTTGTGGTTTAGACCTTTATTTTATTTGTTTATTTTAATGTGTTTCCCGGGATCAAACCCAGTGTCAAATGTATGCTAGGCAAGTGCTGAACCACTGAGAAACAACCCCGGCCCACCATTCTAGTTTTTATTAAATTTTTATGTAGGCCTTTTTCTAGAAGTAAACTATTTCTTCTCTTCTTTTTTGCATACTAGGGTATGGAACCCAGGGGCTCTTTACCATTGAGTTACATCCCTAGCCCTTTTTGAGACAGGGTCTCACAAAGTTGTCCCTGCTGGCCTTGAACTTGCATTTCTCCTACTTCACCTCCTGAGTGGCTGGGATTATGGGTGTGCACCAACTCAGTTGGCTTTCTGTAAACTTCTTAAGGGCAGAGACACATGAGGGACATTTTAAAGTTTCTCATAACACTTAGATGCAGCACATAGTCTAAGTGGTGGCTGGTCACTGGAAAATGATTATGTTAATTCTGTCACTTTGATTCCTAGCTTAGAATTGAAAATTGCATCTGTATAGAATGTTATACACAATTTCTAAAAACTGGAAAATTTCAAATATATACAAAAGTAAAGAGTATAATAAACTCCTTTAAATTCACGTCTCAACTTCAATATTTATCAATACCTTCCTTTCTTCTTACCAGAACATTTTAAAGTAAAATTGGACAATCTATCATGCAAATTCATACATACATACTTCAGTGTCTCTCTCTCATGGATGAGGACTTTTAAAAAATATTTGTAATACTATCATACCCAATATTAATAATTTCTTAATATCTTCTAATACCTAGGTCATGTTTGGCTAGATCTATTACACACACAAAAAAATGCCTTTTTATGATTGATTTGTTCAAATAAACATTAAAATTATATTTGTTGGGCATGTCTTCCCTTCTCGACTCCCTGTCTTGAGAGAGGGTATTTTTATGTTGTCTAGGTTGTCCTCAAACTCACAATTCTCTCACCTTAGTTCTCCCAAGTTGTTGGGATTACAGGCATGTACCATCAACACAGGGTTTTAAATCTTTTTTTAAAAAAAATTTATTGATTCTTTTTAGTTATACATGACAATAGAATTTATTTTGACATAATAATAAATGCATGGAATATAATTTGTTCTAATTCAGTCCCCAATACTTCCCCTCCTTTCTCCTCCTGCTTCCTTCCCTGCTCCATTCCCTCTGCTCTACTGATTGTTCTGCTATCTAATTATAGCCTTTAAAAAAAAAAATCTATGAAAATTCCCTTCTCCTGGCTTTTTAAAATTTTTGTTTATTTTTTAGTGGTACTGGGAATCAAACCCAGGGCCTTGCACTTGCTAAGCAGGTGCTCCACCACTGGCCCTCTCTGTCAGTCTTTTAGATACCAGTTTTTGTTAAAGAAGTTAGGTCCTACAGAATTTTCTGTATTTTGGAATTGGTTGAGTGTACTCCCTGGAAGCCTTTTAACATTTTCTTCTATCCACTTTATTTCTTACAACTGGTAGTTTAGGTAGAGAGGATTGATGAGATTCAAGTTCAAAAAATATTTCTTTTTGGCAAGAATACTTCATAGTATAGCATATTGAGAGACATATAATGTTTGTTTGATTGTCACACTTTCAATGACATTGAGAATGATCAGTGGGTTCAGGTCATATCAGCATTAAGTCACCCATTATAAATTCCCTCTTCAACCTTTCACTTAATTGTTTTAGCAAACATTGATGATTATTACTTAGAGCCATTGCTTCAGTTAGGGTTGAAACAATTATTATTTTTTAGTTTGTTACTTTACTTAAGAAATCTTGCCTACTAACCCATGACCTCTTTTGCAATTCTGTACTTAAACATACAGATAAAATTTAAATTCCTTCATGTAGTCTTCCTTGTTTGCTAAAGGGCAGGATTTCTATCCACCTGGCATCTCTCATATTCTGCTCTGCCATAAAATTTCATCTGCCAGTCTGCAGGCCCAGGAGGGTCCACATATGTCCTTGGGAACTATGTATCACTATAATTTTCAGCACAGTGCTCTGAATATAGCAAGTGTACAAAAAAAATGTGAAAATGTTTTGGTGAGGTGAGTATTCAGATTAAAAATCCCCAATACATACAAACACAAGAGCTAGATTCCAAAATGAAAGACACACACACATACACACACAAATATACATGTAATACCACAAATTTATTAAATACACAGAGAAGAACAAACCCAAACTTTGACAATATCCACAGAGTTTTCCACATTCTTTCAAAAGTTAACAGAAATAAGGGATAATTGAGGGGACATAAATTCATAATTCACGAAACAATGTAGCATACTCAGTTTAAGAATTACACTGAGGAGTTAAGACTATAAAATGGCAACATCCCATAGATATTTAAAAATTTGTATTTGTATTTATTTACAATATGGATATAGGTCCTCAAGGACTCATAGAGCTGTAAGTAATGAACTAGATTATGTAGCTGGGCTTTTTGTCTGTTAGATAAGTTCATCCAATGACAATAAAGTCTTACAAAGTGGACAAAACCTCAATAGAAACTGCTTGACCGCACAGAGCCCTTTAAACAAAACATTGCTCACACAAATCCTACATCCAGGGACGCTCATCTTGATCTGCTATTCCTATGCAGAGAATACTTCTGCCAATTGCAATCTGTTTTCATGTGGCATTCTAACTCCCAATTTCTATCCACAGAATTGAGAATGTGGTTTCATGGCATATTGCCGTTAGTTCATAGGCACATCAAACATTCTAGACTTCAGGAAGGTTAGGAAAGGTGATGCTATGTGGGTCAGAAAAAAATAAATCAAATTCCCTGTTTTATCTTCAATTTTTTTTCCTTCCTTTTGGTCTTTACCTTACTTGGGTCCCCAGGAACTGTTATGTATGTATAGCAGCACCTACACACCTTCAGATTTTTAGCATTTTTAGTTTGGATTCAAAGAACCAAAACAGAAAACACTCAAGGAGTCGTGAGACCTTTACGGTGGTAAAAACTGGAAGAGCTGTTTCTTTTAGTTCTGCTCTCCTGTTCTTTCTTTATTTTTAGTAGGAAATTCCCTCCATTTACCAACCCTCACCTTCTAATACTGTAAGCAAGTGAGATCATAAAGGTCAGTTAGTGAGAAATAACCTTATGAATCTGGTAAGTGTGAAGACAAAAGGTCATAGTATAGTCATGGGCCTGGGGGAGACAAAGAACAACCGATATTACAATCAGTGAAAACTCAGGCTTTGTTGTACAATAAGTATCACCGTGTGTTATACAATAACTGGGACCATAATTGCTAATTGTTCAAAGTCCTTTGCACATAAACAATCCTTCAAAATTGAGCATAAATATAAGAATAACAACAAAAAGCACAAAGGAAAGGGGTTCACAGATGTCCAAATACTGCAGTTCTTGGACAAATCTATCTATTGGTAGTTTTGGTTCTCCAATAAGTTAATGTGAAAACAAAAGCATATCACAAAGTAGCCACTTTAGAGAAAAAAGCAAAAATCTATGACAAATGAATTTCAGCACTTCATTATATGGTGTGTAGGTCTGAAAAAGAGAAATCCAGGCTAACTCACAAAATACTTTATTCATGTAGTATCTCTCTAACAATAAATATGTAAATCTATAACTATAATGTAATTTGTCTCTCAAAATTTGTCTCTTTATTTATATAACCAAATCTTCCCCCAATACTCTCTTGTGCCACCTCCTGCCTCCAGTTGCTTCATAAACCACTCTAAACCCTAACTGGATACTGTGTATGATGAGTGGTCTAAAATTATTTATGCTTTAAAGGTACCTGCAGTATGCTAATCATATGAACATTTATGTCTTTAAACAATATATACTTAGCCAAGATAATTCTTTAAACCATGACAATATCACAAAATGACATTATAATATAACGGACAACAGATTTTTCCCTACTGAACTACATAGTATTTTCTTCATTGATACATTCACCTTTTTTCCAGAGATATACAGAGTTAATTGCAAATTTGTAACAGCTAAGTGTTCATTAACCCATCCAAGCAAATCACCTTGCTTCCAAAATAATATTAACTCTACCTTAGTGTCAAGTGCCTCAGGGTATTAACTGGAAGGAATTCTCATCAGCAAAAGTGGTGGAAGCTGCTCAAGAAGATACATTAAAATTTATCACGAGTGATTTTTAAAAGTGACTGATCCCAAATTCATATTTATCAGTGTTAGTGCTTTAGAATAAGAATTGACCTCTAAAATAAATACAGTGTCTTCTGAACACAATCAACAAGTGACAGAGCCCGAGCCTACAGTGGAGGTTTCCAGCCCCAGCAGAAGGAATCTATTGTACTCCATGGGTCTCTGTCCGTGCTCAAAATATCTAATATTTTTCATCTATACTGGACGTCTTTGAAGAGTACTATATTGCTTCACATCCTTCTTTCACTGTAACAAAACATATTAAACAAAACTTTTCAGTTCGGTTTAAAAGCAGCTGGAAAACCTATGGCTGCTCTAGGCTGTCATTATCAAAAGACTTATCTGGGAACTTTGGATTCTCAAATATCAGAAACTCCAATAACTTATCAAAAAATACAAGCTCTTGGTTTTGAAAAATATACAAAATCATGGCATAGGTAAATATATCTTGATTGTCAAGGAAGACAAGATATCTGTCTCAATCATGCTGTGCTTGTATTTTAGTGACGTTTGTTTTTGCAGTTTCCATTATTTACACTTTTAGGCAATCTCTGACCCTTGGTGTAAGCACGGTACCAAAAGTGGAGAAAGAGCAGCAGAAAGATGAACCCATAACTCATAATAATGTAGAGAAAGACTGGAAACTGGTACTTGCAATCCTCCATGAAAAAGATCTGGCCTATGTGGATGGTGACAATAACAAACTGCACCTAAAAAAAAAAATCAAAGAATAAAAAAGAAAAAAACATTTAGATATGAAGAGTTAACAGTTCTTTTCCTATTAATGTTTATACACTCCTCACCCAAAGCTGGACCAGGGACGTTCACCTTTAAATCTAACCTCCCTGGGAGTAGAAATGGATGGCATAATATCAAAATCCAGATGGGAGTTTGGAACCACTGTGCAGACCAGCTGAACGCTGCACCTCCAGGGGGTCCCACTTAAATGTCCACTGGAGTTGTAATCCTCAGAGAACCAGCAGGGCAGGTTCTTTGGCAGTCTGAGTCCTTTACTCTGACAAAATGTACATAGGACCACTACCTCATGGCCTAATTTTCCATATTGGTTTCAAATTTCCAATATTCTCTCCTGTTGTTAGACCAAGTATTTCAATTTTTGGAAAATAAAAATATTCAAATTAGAGTTCCTCTAATTTTGTAGGAACCAATGCATCCCTCAGTCCTCATATCTGCCATGTGTCTCACATTGTCACACATAAAAATAGTTCCAGATGCCAACTAGGTAAAGAATTAGCAAGGACTGAGAGGGTACTCGTGTCCCCCTAGTGATACTCAAAGGCTTTCTAGACTGGATCATTCTATGCATTTCTAACAGGATCCTTTTCTATGCCAATGTCAGAATTTGGGATATATATATATATATATATATATATATATATATACACATATATACATATATATATATATATATATATATATATATATATGTCCCTGATTAAAAGGGAACATTGTTCTAGGGAAATTTAAGAAAATAATATTCTATAGAAATAAATAACAATTACAATTCATCTAGTTACAACCATGGCTAAGATTTTCACAGTTTCTTTTATAACCATTTTATTGTTATCATCATCCACTTTCTTTGAATTATTTTAATGAACTTTTCTGACATTCCTGCCCAGTAGCTACTATTCCTTTCATTTTATAGAAGAAGGAAAACTTAAGATTAAGCAAGCTCTACACTCCTATGCCTGTGTGTGTAGATGACTAACATTTGAAATAATCATCAACCAATGTCTACCCTTCACTTCTACATAAAAATTTTTCTACTTTACTAAAATTTTTTTCAAAAAATTAAAGAGTGTGTTAAGTGAAAACAAAGATAAATACAAAATTGTTTATGTAGTATAATATAAATCATATAAAATGTACACACATGTGCATGAAGGAGAAAGCTGAATAAAAACAAAATATAATTTTCAGTATTATAATCTCTGGGAGGTGGAATTATGCTTGTTTTATTTCTCTTTGGCTAATTAGGTGGTGTAATTTCTCTGCAATGAGCATATATCATTTAAAATAAAAATATTTTTAAAAAAACAACAGTAAATAATTTTCATAACATCATAGAATTTCAAAGTATATGAAACTTATGCCTCTATTTCCTTATGTCTGGTCATTTAGGTTGTTGCTAATTTCAGATAAGATAAACAACTGCATCTAAAGAAAGTACCTTAGAGGAATCTACTAAATTTTACTCAGCAAGTTGTAGGATTTTAACAAAAAAAAATCTATCCTTAATAGTCTACGTATAATTAAATTCATAGTTTCCCCTTGGCATTGCTGGCAGAATATGACATTCAATTTATTATAGACTACAAATTTGGAAATATGAAGTTAGCAGAATTCTCCTTTTAATAGAAGACAGTAACACTTAAAGCAAATAATTATCTTGTACCCAAAGTTATAATTTTAAAATTTATAAGCCTTATACATTTTAGGATTAATGCTTAAGTATCATTTGGTGTGAACTGAGTACCTCTGCTCTTTGAAACACTGTCTACTTGAGGTCAGTACTCAAAATGTACATCACACATGTATGTTGATTTACTGCTGTATCCTTTAATCATCACAATACATTTCTTATTGGAGGAAAGATATACTTATGAATGTTAGGAGTAGATAGGCATGCAGAAAGGCTTGAATTTCTAACTTCTAATTTAGTATTAAGCCTATTGAGGATCACATAACTTTGAGGTTGGTTATTTGCTTATTTTGTAGTGCTGGGGATCAAACCCAGGCTTTACATATGCTAGGCCAGTACTCTACCACTGATCTATAGCCCAGTCCATATTTTTTAATAAATGTTGAGATAGCATACAGAGGGTATAAGATACTGATGCTGGTTTAATTGTTTAAACCTCTTGGTTACTAAATATGCTTTCTTTTCAATGAACTTCCTGACAAAGTTCAAATAACATCAAAAGGATAGTGTGTGGGGGGGTCTGGGGTTGTGGCTCAGATGTAGAGCACTCGCCGAGCATGTATGAGGCATTGTGGTTTGATCCTCAGCACCACATAAAAAAAATAAAATAAAGATTAAAAAAAAAAAGATAGTGTCATATAGGGGCCAGAAAGTGTACCTGTGCCATTTCATAAATTTTGTTCTATATTTAGCAAGTACTCTAATTCACAGCAAAAATAAATGACTGCAGTTTATTTCATATCTGGTTTTAAAGAAAGTTAGTTACTCACAAGTTGTAAAGATGTCAAATATTTTTTCCACCACAAATACTTCTGGTAGGCTGGTCCCATTGCACAAAGTCCATAGTAGAAATACATGACTACATGCACAGCTGTATTTATAAAGGCATGGAATGTTCCCAAACCACCTGGGGAAAAAAAAAATTATTATAACCTGGGGATGTTGTTCCTTAAAATCAGACACATTTTTGTCTGACCTGAGATTTTAGTATAACTATTTCTTGAATTTTAGAAGGAAGAAAGAAAAGAACATATAAAATATCAATTATGTTAAACAGTTATCAAACTAGAGAGAGCTTGGTACTATATTTAATAAAATACAAATGCAAATCAGGCAATAAATCAGCACATTTATTTATTATATTCTAATTTAAAAAGGTTTTTTGATTTTGGCTTACTTTAACAAACTGAGTTATCTCCTAAATATGATACATTGTTTAATAATAATCAAAATCTTCTTTTAGTGAAGGTTAACACATATAAAGTACACAAAGTACATTAATGTTAAGTGTTCAACTTTAGGTTTTTCATACATACACCCACATGACCAACACAAAGATCAAGATATAGAATATTCACAATACCACATAGAGTCCTATGTGCCCTTCCCAAGGTAACCTCTGATTTCTATAAATCACTCTTAATTTTGCTTGTCATTAAGCTTTATATAAATGGAGTTACATGGGAGGTACTCTTTCATGTCTGCCTTCTTTCAATCAGCATAATGTTTTAAAGATTCATGCACATGTTGGTGTGTGTACACTAATACTTGTCTTTTTACTGTTGGCAGTATTACACCATATGAATGCATCAATGTTTATTCAGTCTCCTGCTGAAAGATACTTGGGTCATTTCCAATTTCGGCTATTAATAATAAGATTGCGAAGCATATTTTTATACAGACATTGTGTGGAATCAAATCTACTTTTCCCACTCTCATTAATTTACATTAAATATTTTTAGAGTCACAAAAATACTGGCAGTAAAACCATTGGCTTCCATTAGTAGGCTCTGCTAAATTTGCTTTAATCAATTATTATTTTTTCCAAAATAAACATCTATTAACTGTTCAACCATCCTTGCTTATTAGCTCGATTTGATTATGGCTTCTTATCTTGGTTTTCCTCTTTTAATTTCACCGTCTTTAATTTAGAGGAAGAGCCAAGAACACTTGGGAATGTAAGAAAAGATCTTTTAATTATCTTTAGCTATAATAGTAGTCACTGGAAGAGGTTGTAGGGAGTTTAGCTGATGGTAGGGGAAAAAAATCCCAAAAAGTTTCCTGAGGGTCTCTTTCTGAAGAGGCACAATGTAACAAAAATTGGCCTTCTTTATGTACAGTCTGACTGTGCTTATTAATGTTCACCTGGAATTTAAAATTTTCTCCAAAATATTTTTTGTCTTATATACCAGAATTCTTTGATTCAAGAAATAAAACAAACTTCACATATTTGAACTAATTATGGCAGAGGAAGGACCGAAATCATAAACACAATGAATTACAGAAAGTTTAAAGGAAAAACACAAATTTAACACTTTTAACATAATCATCTAAGAAACATGTCATAAAATTATTGCATATCAGAAACAAACTATTATTTGATAATTTTTCATACCGGAGGCACTTCTAGATACTTCTGAATAGTACCTCTGCTAGAGTACTCCCTTCAAGTGACCTGTTCTACATAATTACTTTTGAGTAGTTAAATCTTCCCCTAAAGCATATTTATGCTATTTTGCTCTGCTTTGTAAACATTTTATTCCTCAGTAGAGTAAATCATATTTTAGCTAATCCTTCAATTTCTACAAATTTTAGAAAAAAAATAATTAATGAAGCTTATTAACAACTCTCAGCTTTTATTATTTAAATCTGGATTAGTCTTATTTCCCCCAAAGAAACTTGAATAAATAAATAAATTATTGTGGTGTGAAAACACCTTTTCTAGGGTAATTTAAAAATAGAGCAGTTTTCTACTTCTGATAGCTTAGGAGTCCAGTTGATTCACAGAGAATAAGCCAAATACCTCTCAAGTCCATTTATGTGTCATGATAATAGCCCACAGGAAGTCTATGTCAGCCTTCATAAAGAACTATATCAGAGCCTTTTTGCACTCACACTCCTCTCCCATTATATGATAGAGGAGCAGCCATTTTCCTTTTGGATACTTTGATCATTTAAATGTCCTAAGATGAGAATCCTGTGACAGGGATTGAACAAAACACTGGTGTAGCTAAGAAGGTTTAGTAAAGCCTACTGATCAACAGAAGCTATATAATAAAATCCACTCGCTTTTTTTCTCCTGTAATGAATATTTTCTAAGTTATTTCAATAAGTTTCTTCATAGAACAATCACATCTTAATTAGCAATGCTTTTTACTTTGCTATTTGAAGTACTTTCTGAGTTTGCTTGCTTTATGAGAAGGGGTCTAAAAAACAACCACCTCAGAATGAATTAAAATTAGTGCCATCACATTATACTCCTTTGGTTTGGAAAGAAATAAAGGAATCACCTGGGTAATTATCACAATTTTCCATATTGCTCAAAAGGGGTACATACATAATTAATACAAAAAAACTGCCACAGAAATATTTTCATTATATCCCAGAGAAGGGCACATGATGCAAACAGGAAATTAAACACTAGATAGAGATCAGCTGTGCTCAAGTTTTTGACAAACACCGATTAAACCAGACAGTTTCATTCTAGGAATGGAGGCCAGTACCTCTCTGCACCTCTGGAAATATCTCCTGTTGCTGTGCTTGCTACTGAATAGACTATCAGGTAAGCTGTTCAAGTGTTTACTAGAATTTTACACATAAGAATGAGTGGGAATGACAACTCATGAAACATACAAGAGACCAGAAAACATTATCTTCTATATTTTGTAAAAAAATGGGGACTAAGGTTTGAACAAGGGATCCATTATAAAGTGAATGATAACCATACACATGTTAACATTTAAAAATTGGGGTATATTATATATTCAAATTTTCATTATTGAAAGCATTACTTGTTTTTGAAATGGAAATTTCATCTGTGAGCTAAAATATTAAAGTGAGAAAATAACACCATTATTTAAATAAAATTTATGTATTATATATAAAATTTTATATATCAGATATACAATACAGAAAAATGAGAAAATACAGAGAAGGAAAAAGAGAAGAAAAACCAGTTTTTATTTCAATATCTCCAAATCAATATTCTGGAGCATTGCTTTGCAATGTTTTTTCTATTTCTATTTATTTGTCAGAGTTGTAATATAGTGTAGCTGTCTTTTGGTACCCAAGGAGATTGGTTCCAGGATCCCCTGAGGATACCAAGATGTCTAGATGTTCAAAGTCCCTTAGATAACATGGGATGGTATTTACATATATTCTATGCACATCCTCCCATATCATTTAAATCATCTCTGGAGTACTTATAATACCAAAAAAATGTAAATGATATGAAAATGGTTGTTAAGTTGTATTGTTTAGGGAATAATAACAAGATTTAGCATAGATGTAATTTTTTTGCATATTTTAGGTTCATAGTTGGTGAAATACATGGATGAAGAATCCATAGATATGGAAAGTCAACTGTATTCTAGTCTCATGGAAGAAAAGGACATAAATTATAAGGATATAGAAATGTCTTTACTAGCATTCTTTAATATAAAATAATCATTTTCTGATAATTAGGAGTTAAGCTGCTTAATGGAGAAGATGAACTAAATACTTCTCAATATCATTTTGTTTCATGGTATTTATACACATAAAAAATAAACACTCTACTACTAGGCAATGTTCAGGTATTTTGCAATTTTTTGTCAACACAAATAAGGTGTTAATGTATATCACTTAAAAAAAACCTAGAGACACAATGTATATGTGAGAGAAAAAAATAACACATATAAGTAAAATAACAAAGATTAAATACTATAGCTACATTTGATTTGTGAAATGGACACAGCTAAAGATATCTTGTTAGAAAGTGAATTAAATATTTATATTAACATGCATCATAAGAAAAGGAGTTATATTTACTTTAAAATTTTCTTAACATATAAATGCCAATTTGGGACAAAGAAGAAAATTTTATGTACTGGGAAATCCAATGCCCATAGGCCCTATAGGGAAAATCCTTTACCCACATTTCTCAGCCCTAGTGGCTTTTCCAGGTTGATGCCTAACTGAAATGAGCTATTCATAGAAATATTAAAGCATTGTTTCATATGAGCTATAGGCTTATTTGAAGAATTCTTAAATTTAAGAAACTAGACTAAATAAATCTTACCTTGCTAAGGTAAGAATATGTCCGTGGGGGATACTGCTTATTTAAGACTTTATGATGGGATAAAATTACTGCCTATTTTCTCCATTTCTAGATATTCAAAAACATAAAACCAAAATGAAACCAACAGAAGAGGCTGTTTGTCAAGTTTTTGATTTAAACTATTTTCGACTTTAAAAACACCAGAATGCTTTGGGAAGTTAAGATAACTAAAATTTGACCCATTTTTAAAGAGTTGTTAGGTGCTGAGGTATGCCATTTTTTGAATATGGGTCTTTCTCCAAATGTTCATGTGTTGGAAGCTTGGACCCAACATAATGTGTTCTGAAAGGTGGTGGGATCTTTGAGAGGTTGGGGCCTACTGGGAGATGACTGGGTTATGACCATCCCCAGGAAACTGTTTTTGCTGGTCTTTCACGGGTAGATTATTTCCCTCCAGATCAGGCTTATTACAAAAGAGTGAATAAGGACCTTCCCTAGTCTCTTGCTTCTTCTCTTGTCATATCACCTCTCTCTAGCATGCATTCCTGCCATGATGCTATCTGCCATAATATGACACAGAGGGCCCTCACCAGAGCCAAACAAATGAGACTAAGGAATTCTGGACTTTCAGTCTCCAAAACTGTGAGCTAAAGAAATACCTTTTTGTTATTTATCAACCAGCTCCTAATACTTTGTTACAGCAACACAAAATTGACCAAGATGGCATATATGTAAGTTATTAGGAATTTGAAGGCAGATAAGACATGGGAACTTGAGATAAATATTCTGACTTCCTGGGAACATATAAAAAATAGTTACCTAACTAGAGTCCTAGGCTTTTTACCATTTTACATATTCACTGTTTATTTATTTGAAGACATGTAATAGAACTCTTTGGGAAAAGAATAAAATCCAAACAAAACTAAAAACATTTATACAAGACTGTGCCTCTAAATCATGTGTACCTAAAGATTTGGGGAAAAAGTCTAACTAACAGTCCTATGTTTACATACCAGGTAATAATTTGAAAGTCAGAAGTTAACCAAAGTGACTCTTTGATTTTTTTTGTTTCTTATAAAGTATATTTAAGGATAAATTTTTTTATTTGTAGCATACATAAATGTTATCATTTATATCACATGATCCCAGCTCTCCCTTGGCTACCTGCAGCAAATTTGACTCCAAACCACCAGGTCCATGGCATGATGGTATGATGGAAGACATGAAGGAAAGTCACTTGGCTATTTTTCTTACGCAGAACAAAAAAGATCTGAAATAATTTAAAGATAATCAAGTTCATAAAAATCATGCAATAATTTATTGAATATTACCAAAAAATTGGCAAAGAGCAAACTATTTCACATCATGATTTGCTTTGAAATAACTGCCTTATGGAAAGGTTATAGAATTAGCTGTTTCTCTGAGTGGCAGCTCGAAAGCTAACATATGACTAGCTGGGGATGACATCTCATCATGGGAGAACCAATAAGAAAGTGAAAAGAAATTTTATGCAGATATAAACAAATCAAAGATATAAAGTGAAGAATTTGGCCAAAAAATGATTGAAAGAAAGACTATTGGTTAAAAAAAAATTCCAATGGCTTTTGAAGTTTATGGGAAACTAAAAGTCCTTAATTCTCAGGACTGAAATTATTTTTATTCAACATTGCTCTCTGATACATCCTATCAATCTGGAATAAGGGATGAGGCAAACCAAGAGAGAGGTACAACATATCAAAAGTTAGCAAGTTAATATAAAAGGAAGATAAAGAAGAGTTAATTTTAAAAATGCAAGGGCAAAGAAAGCAAAGTTGTATAAGAAAAATGAGAAGAGCAACAGACGTAACATTCAGATTGTGCAAACTCGGGGGTTTGTAGAATTTTCACAAAATGAAAAGCAGAATTTTGGGGGGGAAATGTTCAAAAAATATTCAGAATACCTGAACTTAAACTAAGATATATTTTAAAATTCAGGACTAAACAGAATAGTGCAAAGAAAAGTATTACTGTAATGGGAATAGTTGAGAAAGGTAGTTCATAGACGAATATAGAAGCAGCAACAGTTTCCTTGCAGAAGCTGGAACTGAAAACATGCAAAGCAGAATCAATGAAGCAAAAATGCATTTGTTTATGCACATGGAAGAATGAAGCCTGGTACAGCAGGAAACGCCATAAATTAGCACTCTGGGTCCTGGTCCCAGTCAGTAGTAGCATTCCTCTGGTAAGTCACTGAATTTTTAGCTTTAATTTTTTTCTGAGTGAGGACTCTAGAATACCCTAGGTGTGTCTTATAATATCCAAGCATATTTTTAAAATAGCCATGCTTGGTCTCTACTCCAGACCAATTGACATCACATCCCTGAAGGTGGAGTCCACATTTTGTTGTTTTTGTTCCTAATGCAATTAATTCTACAGCACTATGAAGACTAAGAACCATTAGACTATGACAAGGAGGTTCTCACTTTAAAGTGTGGTCCTTGGATGAACAGCATTAGCATCATCTGAGATCTTGTTAGAAATGTAAATTCTTGAGCACCATCTAAAACCCATTAAATCAGAAACAAGGGGTCCAGGCATTTGTGGTTTAAAAAACCTTCCAGGTAATTCTAACACATTAAAGTTTAAGAGCCACTAGATTCTAATTTCACTAAAGTCTCTTCCAATTCTATCTAACATAATAAGATTAGTCAACTGAGAAGTCGAAACATGTTAAGATTTCCTATAAGCTCAGGGACAGTACACACTTGTCAACCTCAAAATCAGAAAGGATTCCAAGTAACTAAGATATATTTGCCAGAGAGATATAGTCAATATTCAGCTTCTGGAAACAAAGGCTCATGGCTTTCTTCTCTCATTATTGACACTAATCTTTGTCACTCTAATCTTTGAAATTTGCTTCTCCCTGGACCCAGTCATCCAGGTACAGAGTTGATCCTCACCAGGATCTCAAAGGAAGAGCTAGGGCCAAAAGCACACAGTTCAAAAAGACAGTTCGAGAAGTCCTGGTGTTCCCCCAATTCCTCCTACCCCAGTGGTAACCTCACATCCAAGTGTAACCTTAGGAAATTTGAAGCACTTATCCTCTTAAAGGAGTGTGGATGAACATTGCTTTGGTAGAAAAAACTAAAGGGCTCTTTCTTAGCTTCATGAATGTTCTTCATAAAACTACACTACCATCTACATAAAGATGTATAGTTTGGAGAATAAGTGAGAATTAAATGCTTAACTTAATCAAGTGTTAAATACCTTTGGGAGTTTGTGAAATATTGGAAAATAAGCTTATCCTGCTGATTCTAGTAAGCTACTGATAATAAAAGGTAAAAGAGATAAGAGTAGGTCTACCTGAGGAGAAATAGCCCAAGTTATTAGACAACTGAACTAGAGCACTTTATTGCTTTCACTGAAACATCAAATATTTACCAAATGTGGTGACCACATACTCACAGTGTCTAACAGCTCAATAAATTTGGAGAAGTAATAAAGCCAGCAGGTGTGTGCCATCTGCAAAAATACACACAGTTATGATCTCATTTTATTATATTTTTAGCATGGACAAAAGTTTATTAATTTTTTTTTTTTATAAAATAGACGCAACAAAAGTTATCACCTTAACCATTTTGGGCATGCAGTTCAGTGGAGTTATATTCCCACTGTTGTGCAACTATCATGACCATCCATCCATAGAATTCTTTATTTTCTTAGATTGAAACTCTGGACTCATTCAAAAATAACTTCCCATTTCCTCCCTTCCCTCCAGTCCAGCCATCATTCTATCTTCTGTGATGAGGTGACTACTCTAGGTACCTCATATAATCATGCAATATTTACCCTTTTGTGACTGGTTAATTTCGGTTAGCATAATATCCTCAAGACTCAGTCATGTTTTAGCATGAGTAAGAATTTCTTTTCTTTAAAAGGCAGAATAATATCCCTCCCTGTCCCCTGTCTACCACATTTTGTTTCTCCACTCATCCCTCCATAGACACTTGGTTGCTTCCACCTTTTGGCTCTAATGAATAATGTTGCTGTAATAGAGAGTATTCAAATATCTCTTTGAGTTCCCCCAATTCCTTTAGGTATATGTACAGAAGTGGAATTTATAGACCTTACGATAATTATTTTTGCATTTTTCTGAGGAACCTGATATAAATTTATTTTTAAATTGGAGAAATTCATAGAAAAAGCACTTATTTTCATTTTACATTAAACAACACACTGATTATTTTGTGTAATTTTTAGTTTTCTTCCCCCCAACATATACAATCTGATAATGGAATCATTTAGTCATTCTGAGTTCACAGTCATTATTGCAAATAGAGTCCAAAAGGTTTTAATTTGGAATTACAAGTTTTCAATTTGGAATTACAAGTTTTTCCAAAGAGAAACTTACCCTTAAAAAAACTTACCCTTAAAGCTGTGGGTGACCGTGAATAGTCAACAATTTCACATCGAAATGAATAACCTGTACCCCAGCCAGACATCACAAACTGCAAGAAAGCACATGCATATCAAAGAAGGAAGTGTTTGCTCAACAGCTACAACAAAGGTAGTTTTGATTGTGACTCCATTAGTTTATCAGCTGAGTAAGCAGTCAGTGCAGCAGAGAAGGCGGTTTCAACAATGACAATCTACAAACACGCTTGACAGAGAAGCTTGACATTGAGAATTTTCAAAACCTTAGATTCATATATTATCTTTATAAACTGTATTCTGACAAAATTTTCCATTTCTTGGGATGGTTATTCTAATATAGTGAAGAAAAATCCCTGGGAGGGTTCTGCTTAAACAGCAGCTACTGAGAAGTAATTTATCTTATGCTCATCTATATTTGTAAGTCTATGCATCTTTATAGGGAATACCTGGCTCTGAATCAGTCTTTTCAACTCTCCCCTATTAGTCAATAATTAAATGGGCAAATTAAAGTTCATTGATGTACTGATAAAGTGACTGAAGCAACTGAGTTTTTCCTGTCCCTGGGTGAAGGGTGTGATGTGAAGTGGTGGACGATGGCTCTCTTATTCTTTCCTCATTTCAAATCAAGATGGGCCATGAAGGAAGATCAGTATAGTAGAGGAAAGGGACTTGGTTAGGGACAGGGGAGGGCAAGGGGAAATACTGGCAAATGATATTGGCCAAATTATATTGCATATATATACAAATATGCAACAACAAATTCCACCATTATGTATAACTATAATGCACCAATAAAAATATGGAAAAATAAATTTAAAAAATCAAGATGGACCAGACCCAAGACTCACATACTAGTTGTGATTTGGGTTCATAAGATGAGAGAGGAGAATGCTCTTGTTAACAATAGGAGTACAATCTGGAAGGCCTTAATTCCAACACGCCCACAAAGTGACTTTCCACTGGTGGTGAGAAGAAAAAGCCTATTGTTGCTAAGTCTGAATTGTAAATCAAAGATTATATTGACATTCTTTCAGGCTGATGGTGGGAAGATCTTCTTTTAAAAACAGTATCTGAAAATGAAAAGCCGAGGACTTTAATTTTAAATTAATGCATATGTTAAATGGTGGGCTTAATTTGGGATAGGACAATATGATTCTCTTTAACTTCTTCTCACAAGTGCAAACATCTTCCTTGCACTGTCCTCCTCCTCAGTTTTATGGTTATATCATGTTCTGCCACTGAAACACATTTTTAAATTTCTATTTTTGTCACTGATAAAGCTAAAATTACAACTTCACAATAAATTAAATTCAAAAGCAAACACCTATTAGTCTTTATCAAAATGACATTTTACTGGTGCAAAAAAAAAAAAAAAAAGGAACAAAAGAGAACAACTTTTAATGATGATATTTAAAAATACAGCTTCCTGGGCTGGGGTTGTGGCTCAGTGGCAGAGTGCTTGCCTCACACCTGTGAGGCACTGGGTTCGATCCTTAGCACCACATAAAAATAAATAAACAAAATAAAGATATTTAAAAAATAATAATAATAAATAAAAATACAGCTTCCCTTTCTGATACAAGCTCCTAGTTTGATTTATAGGACAATATAATACATTGTTAACCTGACAAATTATGAAATACTGAAATTAAGGCTCACAAAAGTACAAGATACACATTTCATGGATCAGAAAAAATGTCTCACAAAAGCAGGTCAACAGATCTTTTCAAAGGAACAAGGGAATGTGACAAACGGCTAATTCTGTTTTACAAAATCCTGCTCTAGTGAATGTTCTCATGTCCTCTTATACTCAGACTCATTTTGACGGATGTAAGTAATACTCTAAGTCCAGAGCTGTTTTCTTAAACTGAGGTGGCTAATTCTCCACCTTATCCTAACACAAACAAGTGCTGTGTTGAATAGAAGAAGCGGTATGACTTGGCCTATAGTGGGGTCTGACCTGGTCTGTCTTTATTAGGGTCTGACAGATGCCAAGTATCTAGCACATTTGAACAATCACTCAAAGGCATCTGAGTTCCTTTAGCCTGATGAGTTTCTCTTTCCTTTTGTTCATATCTGGCCAAATATCCCTAGTGGAGGTGTTTACACCAAATGAAACCATGCTGCACACAATAGCCATGTGTTCAAATGCGCCATCAGCAGATGGCATGTGGTTTGGCTGCTGAAAGTCTGTTTAAACCGAGAGTGGAACGTAATGTTTTCCCTATGTTAGGCTCATTCCAACAACCCATGAAGTTTTTGCTATATATGTCTATGTTTGAGGCTAGCAATAAGAAGAAATAATTTATATTTGGCAGGTAATAAGCCCTGAAACTTGGTTTATTCAAGTATTATTCAAGTAACTCAAGTATTTAGGGTGAATGCAGATAGAAACTCTCAAATTTAGATGTTTTCAAACCTTCTTTTATGTTATAATTGATAAAATGGGAACGCAAACTGCCTGATTATAACTGGTTTCCTTTCCAGTCTGAGAAATACATTTGGGGGACATCACAATCAATGACACAATCAGACAGAGAACCTAAGAATACCAGAGCATTCTGGGATCTGAAAGACAATTTGATTGCATTCTGGTTTTATAAAATGAAAGGACTGAGGCTTAGCAAGATTTAGTAACTTCCTCAAAATCATGTTGAATCAGAGTACAAAGAAACCAAGAGTTTCCACCATGATAGTGACAACTCATTTTAGAACAGGATGAACTCTGATATCAGATAGACCTGCATTCAAATATTAGCAAAACCAGGACTAAATAGTCCTTGGTCTCCTAGCTTCCAAATTTATTCTTATCACTACTGTAACATGCTACTGCTATGTCCTATCTCTGAGAACATGCTAACAGCATGTATTTTCTGTTTCCCATCCCTACTACTCTTTCCCAGTCTAATGCTCATACTCTAGAAGGGACAGTAGAGTGAGTTAATTTAGAAAAAAAAGTAAAGGAAATAGAAAGTAGCAGAATGAGTCCAGACTTAGGGAAGGCCCATGAAAAACAAAGCTGGAGCATGAAAAGTGACCTGATCAGGTGGATTTGCAGCAAGAAGAGGGTAGAAAGGATGCTCATGGTGAGACTCTGTTGTAAAGAGAGGCCACTGAAGTCCTGGGGGATTCATATGAATCCCAATTATGACTAAGCACAAGCTCTGCTGGAGAGGAAGTAAAAAAGAGGGCGAGGAAGCACTGGAGTAGGAGAAGAAGCAAAGAATCCCAGAGAAGCAGATCTGTGAGGGTGGCTGAGATACTTTTTAAGAGCAGAAGGAAAAGAGAACATCCATGAATATGCTTTTGGTCCTGGAAGATTCCCATCTCCCTTAAGAACAATTCAGGAATAGACTTCCTACTGCTTTGTATGGTTCTGTATTCTCTTTCCCCTCAAAGTTCAACCAAACCCAAATAGTCCACTGTTGTACAGCTCATCAGAGCACACAGAAACCAAGAGTTTTCACCATGATGGTGACAACGCATTTCAGAACAGGATGAACTCTGATATCAGATGGACCTGCATTCAAATATTCGTTTTCCACTCACCAGCTATGTGACTACTTTGAGTAAGTTACAAAATTTCTCTAGGCATAAGTTTCTCCAAAGCTAACATTTATGGACTTGTTCAATCAAATACTAAGGCTAACTGCGTGTAATCCCTGGATTAGGAATTAATTCTTCTCACTACCTGAGAAGTGGACTACCCTGAGATCCTCTAAAGAGTTTGTTATTTGATGCAGACCTAACCATTTTTTATCAAATACCTGCTATAATGAGTGCAGTTTCTGAATTCCTTAATTATTAAAGGTTGCCCTATTTTTTAAAAATGACATAAACAGAAAGACCCAGGCAAAATTCTTCCATTAGGAATACTGGAAAAAAAAAAAAAAACAGGGAATACCGAAGACACTTGCCTCATAACACATATACAAAGAAAAGAGTACTATGGAAAAATTGTACGTTATCATCACTTTCTTGAGTTCAAAGGGTTTTCGATTCTCCATGAGCTTTGGTCCCAGAGAAGTGACAAAATAGACATAGAGTCCCAGGATGATGGTTTGTGGCAGAGGCGAGGACATGAGGAGCCAATCTTCAACTCTTGGATCTAAGAGAAAAATAATATGTAAGTGCACACTTGCTTAGCTAAGAGATACGGACAGCAAACAACACTTCCTGAGGTAAGCACCTAGATTGCAATGCTGACAGTGTAGCTTTGGGTAGTGGTCACCAGTTACTTTAGGAAAGGTAGTGGGAAATCATCAGAGATGGTGGAACATCCCTGGCCTAGAAACAGTGAGGATGTTACCACCCTTGGATCTCAAGTAGTAAGCAGACCTCAGAAGGACTCATGTGGAGCAACTCTTCTGGGGAGGAACTGTTATAGAATGAAAGTCAGTGCCCTCCCAAAGTCCATATGTTGAAACCTTAACCCCCAATGGGAGGCTGATGGGCTTTTAGGAGGATGGAATCCTCATGAATGAGTTAGTGCCATTATAAAAGGGACCAGGGATTTCTCTTGCCCTCGTTGTGCCATGTAAGGATATAGTGCAAGAAGACAGCAACCTGGAAGGAAGTTCTCACCAGAACCCTACCATGATGACAACCTGGACTTCTGGCTTTCAGAGCTGTGAAAAATAAATTTTTGTTGTTGGTGACAGACAACAAAGTAGCCTGAATAGACTGACAAGCTATGACCATCAGTTGGGCAGGATCTGGCCTGCCCAAGACAATTCTGCAAGTAAATGGCCAAAGGAATAGACACCTGAAGCCCACCCTCCCTCTCTCTGGTCTCCTGAGGTTCTCCATTGACTGAACCCAATCAGAAACCAGTGCACAAGGGTGTAAGCCCAAGATATAGTCCTACTAGTCATCCTCCAAGGGCCTAGCACAGGGTTGAAGTAGATCTGGAGGAAAGGTCACCCCATAATGGTCCATCATCCATCTATAACCACTGTTAATATTCAAAAGTTGTTCATCCAGACATTCTTTTATACATAAAAATGTTTGTTTGCTGGCTTAACTTTCTTCTTTCCCTAAGAAAGCTGGCATATTTCCATATATTCTGAATCATAGAATCATAGAGTTTAAAGGGACCTAGCATCATCTAAGTACCTAAAGTGTGAGCTCTGCATGCCCAAAATTTGGGCTAACCAACATGATATTCTGTGTGTGTGTGTGTGTGTGTGTGTGTGTGTGTGTGTGTGTGTCCTGGCCTTGCAATCATGAAAAGAGAAATTCACCCAGTCCTTGCCAGTTTCAGGCTGGCAAAGTTGCATTGATTAAAAACTTCAACTCAAGATGAAATGTGATTAGCTCTATAATTTGAAGTGTGATTCAAGTGGAATTTCACTGAATGGCCTCTTGAAGCCAGAGTATATGAATGAAAATAAGTATAGATAAGTTTCTAGTTATATCTGACTCAAAATTGGCAAGACTTGGAATTTGAGTACTTTGATGAGCCAGAAAAGAAAAGTGGGGAAATGCAGGCCTTGCTTATTTAAATTGCGAATGATGAGGCCAATTACTGACAAACTTTGAGTTACCCCTGAAAGTTTGACTTCCCACCCCAGATTTCTTCAGTAGAGCTCTGTGATTGATAACTCACTGGGACTCACTTTTAGTGCTGGAAAGCTAACTTTTGAGAGTTGGCTGTACATGTAGCTAGTAAGATGATTTATCTACATTCAAGTGGGCCTCCCTCAAAAATACTGACAGATGTCCCTGTGTCTAAATAAATAAAGCCAAAGAGTCAACATTTAGCTCTGAAATAGACCCTATGATACTTAGGAAATTAACTGATGATTAAAGAAGCCCCCAAAACAGAGGAGGCAGAGACTAGTCAACAAATGTTGATAGGAAATCTAGGATAGGAAAATTAGTTGATAGGAAAAATAAAGAGCAAATGGAGTTTGCTCTTTACTTCATATCCTAAACAAACATGCCCTTAACTATGTAATGGATGTAAGATATCTAAGGACTCTCCATAAAAGTGGGGAGACTACTGAAATGCTGAGTCAAACAGGCTGCTTGCTGCAGGAGTTTAGTGCCTGTGTTCACTGTGAATGGACAAGGTGGAACAGGGGTATGTAGTATTCTCTAAACTTAATTGGCCATGAGACCCTGTTTTTTAATAGAATACCATTTAACATTGTATTGAACTAATGCTCTGTGCAACACAGTTTGGGAAGTAGAATTTACACATTTATTTGTTGTTTGTTTGTTGAGCCAGTAAAGATTAGGTAGTAATAAGTGAAGATAAATAGGAGTCTACTTTGAGAAGAAAATGTAAAATTTTTTAATTGGTTACACACAGGGAATGAAACATAGATAGAAGCTAATAAAATATTCAAATTTTTAGAGTTTGGATAAAACTCTAGAACATCATTACACTGAGAACAGAGAATAAGAAGCCAGAATGGTCAGGTCAGAACACTTTATATTAAAGGTGCCTGTAAAACATTTGTATGGAGATTTCCATAAGTAACTGGATATATAAATCTGGAATTAAGAATGAGATCTGAGTCAGAGATAAAGGCTTGGGGGTTACTGCCACATAAATGATGAACAATAAGAGCATTGAGACAGGCTAAAGTCAGAATTCTAAGGTCCTGACATTCACAGGAGGAGAGGTAGAAAAAGACAACTTAGAAGAAGACTGAGAAGCAATGGCTAGAGAGGTAGAAGGAACACCACAAAAGTGAGATCTCCGAAAGCTAATGAAAGAGTGAATTTTTGGAAAGTATTAAATGAGGCAGAGAAAGAAAAAATGTGGACTGAAAAGTGCCACTAGGTCATTGATGCTCTTACAAAGAATGATTTTAGCAAAGCATCATGCACAGAATAGAAATTCAACACAAGTTTGCTGACACACACTCTCAAAATTATGAGGTTCCAAAATTTTAAAGTTTTTTCCTATGTTATGTTTGTCATAGTTTTAAATCTGGGAGGAAAAAGTACAATCAGCTATTCGTGTATGTGTCACTGAAATTTTCATTGATTCTATTAGTTATCCTTCCTTATAAAAGTAGAAGTTTCCTAGTACTTCTGGTTGCCATGTGCAATTAAGATGGCCATAATAAACTCTGGCTATGGACTTATATGTTACTAGAGAAGTCTCAGTAAATAAAAGCTATAACAGAACTGTGGCCAGTGGAGAGAATTAAAACTGGTCAATCTTTGATGGCTTTCTTCTGTCAGTGGGTAACACAAACCTTAAATATGTGAACCTCATAAATCATAATATTCTGTCTAGCTTTTATTCCAAATAAAATAAAGACTAATTAAAGCAGTACCAAAACAAGACCTCTGGAAAGATGTTAAAATCACCACCTTGAATGATGAAGAGTACGAATGATTTTTTTCATTTTTTTTTCCTTTTCTTTATAAACAATTCCAAATGTTTCTCTTAACATGTTTCAATGCATCCCATGTATGGTTAAAAACTAGGTTACTTTTTAAGTGTCAGCAAAAGAACTCCTTAATTAGAGATGTATTTCATTTTATTCTTTCACTGACTCAGCAAAGGGGGGAATCAAATGACATCATCTTTCTGTTCTTCCTATGACAATAGTAAAAAAGAAAATACACCAGGAAAAGCTTGCTGGGCTGACTCAGGAAGCAGAATTCCTGTAATTTAACATTTTCAGCACACACCTTGTCTTAAAATCTTGTATGTGACTTTCAAGTTCTAAGGATAAAAAATTATCATGGAAAAATCTGGTTAATTTAATTGGATGCTGTTTTCAAATAATAAAATAAAATACCCAGCTTTAAAAACCCTATTTTAGCAGAACTCTGGTGCCATTGGGTCTGTGTTATGACCCTGGCTCTCCCCATGGCCTGCTATGTGACTTTGGGCAATGAACCTGACTTCTGTATACTAACTTTTAAAAAAATCTATGCATTGGCATAAAGTAATACATATTTCATGAAGAATTGAATAAATTTTATGCAAAGAAGTCAAGCACTCAGTAAACTTGCTACTGTTATTACAGCATAGCTCAATTCTGTCAGCACAGCAGAATCACTTCCGGAGCATTTAAGTGTCAGATGACTATATTATATATAAATCCTGGTCCAACTGATTCAGAGTCCTAGAACATGAGGACCAGGTGTCTGAATTTTTAAAAATCTGCCATTAAAAAATAATGGGCAAAGGACTTGAATAGACATTTTTCAAAAAAGACAAACAAAATGGCCAACAGATATATGAAAATAATGCTCAACATCACATCAGGGAACTGTAAATCAAAATAATATCACCTCACACCAATGGGAATGGTTACTATCAGAAAGGCTAAAGACAGCAATTTCTCACCAGGGTGTCAAGAACAGGGAACCTTTGTACGCTCAGGATGGGGAAGTAAAATAGTACAGTCCTTATGGAAAAATATACAGAGGTTCCTCAAAAAAATTAAAAATAGATATACCATATGGCCTGGCAATCCAATTTCTGGGTATATGTCCAAAGAAAATTAAATTAGTATGTATGTTGAAGATCTATCTGTATTCTTAGGTTTGCTGCAGCATTATTTGCAATAGTCAAGATACAGAATAAACTCAGATGTCCATCAACAGATAAACAGATAGAGAAAATGTAATATGTATGTACACACCCACACAAAAATATTATTTAACCTTAAAAAGAAAGAAAAGCCTGTCATTTGCAACCACATGAGTAGTCTAGGAAGACATTTTTATGCTTGGTGAAAGAAGTCAGACACAGAAAGATAGATACCATATGATCTCACTTCTATGTGAAATCTAAAACTCCGGAACTCATAGAAACGGAGTGGAAAGGGCTGAGGTTGTGGCTCAGCAGTAGAGCTCTCGCCTTGCACATGTGAGACCCTGAGTTCGATCCTCAACAACACATAAAAATAAATAAACAAAATAAAGATATTGTGTCCATGTATAACTAAAAAAATATTTAAAAAGAAAGAAATGGAGTGAAAATGTAGTTACTAGAGGCTGGAGGAAAAATGGAAAGGGGGAAATGTTGGTCAAAGGGTTCAAACTTTCAAACAGGAAGAATTTTTTTTTTTTTTAATTTACTGCATAGCACGGTAACTATGCTAATGAAATAGTTAATATTAGTGCATTACGTATTTTAAGAAGGTTAACAGTAATTTTTTTTTCTGGTACCAGGAATTTAACTCAGGGGCACTTAACCACTGAACCACATTCCCATCCCTTTTTTATTTTTTATTTTGAGACAGGGTCTCATTAAGTTGCTTAGGGCCTCACTAAGTTGCTGAGGCTGGCTTTGAACTTGCAATTCTCCTGCCTCAGCCTCCCTTGTTGCTAAGATTACAGATGTGCACCACCATGCCCAGCCAGAATAATTTTCAAATGCTCTCACCACCAAAAAAGATCAGAATTTGAAGTGCAAACACTTCAAATTGAGCTAATTACCTCAGTCCAATCATTCCACAATGTAGCCACCTACCACGACATCACTTTGTGCCCCATTACAATTATAATTTGTCAATATATAATAATTTCTTAAGTTTGTTGAGATGATCATGATGACTGTCAGAGTTAAGAACCAGGGATCTGGTGGGTGACAAAGTCCCCTAAACTCAGTGCTGCAGCATTCCTCACTAGGTGCTGGGCAGTCTTTATGTACATTCCCTGCCTCATTTGAATCTGTGATAGTCATCTTCCGTACAATTGCTAAATTCACTTTCTACAAGTAAAGCTCTGTTAGATTATTCTCTTGCTTAAATTAGCTCTCCCTCATAGAGAAAATAAAATTCAAAGATGTACATAACTCTGACTCTAGTTCAATTTTCCTACCTTGTCTTTTAGCAATAGTTACACACCTTTCCAAAAAGGGAGTCTACTTCCCAGAGAGGTTAGTAGAACTCTCCCCATGAGATAGGTACCTACAGGTCAGGCATGGATGACTCGATAGGGGGGTTTTGGAAGCCACTGTGCAATAACATTTAAAGTTACTTCTGACTCAATCTATGATCCCACAAATTGCATCAGGTTCAGGGGTGAGTGCTCTCTAGTTTCCCCAGAGACAAAGGCTAATGAGGGAGGGAAGGTTTCATGTATCTCTCATTTGGCATTGGAGTTGGTTTAAGTATCATGAATAGAGCCAAAGCAGAGGATGGGAAGACAATCCATCTGACCACCTATACCCCAGAGACTACCAAAGTTCTGATTTGCCACTAGCTTAATAATCCTTTTCTAAGAGTTCCAGAGAAGAGGGAGGAAGGGAGAGAGGGAGAGAGAGAGAGGAGAGAGGAGAGAGGAGAGGGGAGGGAATGGAGAAAGCACAATGCTGAATTTATAGAATATTAATGAGCTTTTCCATCATATAATAAGACAGTGTTCTCTTCTTAAGTAGCATGTACTAGATCAAAGAGTACCCCCTTAAAGATTCCAAGCACCAATAAAATAAAGAAGCTGGAAGGAAAAGCAAACATGTACCTCAAGTACTTTCTAAAGCACCAAAGGTTCAGAATGGCAGCAATCTTACTTGTACTACATCTTTTGCAAAAAAAAAAAAAAAAAAGCCAACTAAGTCTGAAAAGCCATTCCTACTATCCAAATACAAAGAAAGATGCTTTTTAATCATCAAAACCTTTCTCACTTCTATATCTAGGGTACCTCCCAAACAATAATCTAATAATCATTGTAAAATCCTCTTGTAGCTTAAATATTAATTAAGCCACCTTAAATTTTTGTGCTGTGGAATTTTCCACATGAAATAACCAGGCATGACTACCACTTCTCCAGCAATCAGAAAACCAATGAATAGCTGTAAGTTTTCCCAAGGCTACTCAGGATTAGGGCCAATGCCAAGAATATACTTGAAATTCTTGGCCCTTGATCATGGATTCAGACCTTCCTGGGGTAAGCACAGTAAAACTGGGCTAAAAGGACCAGAAATGATTCCTAATGCCTCTCAGAGATCAATATCACACTAAGAAGAAGAAAAAAACTCTCCTGTTATTCCTGAGAGGGTTTTCATAAAGTTGTACATTTCAACATAAAACCTTTTAACTATATGTTAAGACATGATAGAAAAAAATAAAAATAATGTTAAAAGTGATATGCTATATTAAAAATATTTACAGATGCAATCCTCTGTCATCTGTAACAATTGTCACCACTATTTGTGTTGGGGTACCTCCCAAACAACAAAGTAATTTCTGCATATTATCAAGTAGCTGGTAGGTATTATTCTCACCTTTGTTTAACTCTTAAAGCAACTGAAACCCATAGATGATAATAATTTGTTCAAGATTACCTAGTTGGTCCACAGTAGCAAAGAATCTTGATTTAGGTCTTCCACATTCCTCATTCCACATCCCATGCCCTTTGTCCTCTTCCCAAGACTTCATATTAACATAACTTCAGACAGTGGCTTTCTCTTTGGTCTCCTGGCCTCTCTCTCCTCTCATCTTCCCTGTTCTATTTGCAATGCTGTTTCTAGGATCCTCCCTACTCTCCATGTTTAAGCACCTCCAGCTCCTTATCAGTCCACTGTCTTATCTAAAAGGCTCAACTTTTCAATAGAAATATTACTAATAAAAAGCAAAAAGTAGATCCACAGATAAAGATGGAAGTAGAATTCTGAAGCAGCTCATACTAAAACATTTTGTACTTCTAGTACCATATAAATATTCACCATCATTTAAGTCCAAATTTGGTTCTTGAGTGAGGATATTGATTATCTGAATCTCTTGAGTTCTTGCATTTGGAATAGTCTATTTAGCTTCTGAATTAAAATATTGATTATCTGAATCTCTTGGGTTCCTGCATTTGAAACAGTGAAAGCAAGATTTGGATCATAAGAAATCTTCTCTTCCAAATATACCAATTCAAAAATTGTACCCAAATCCACTTGGTTTTCTAAGTATGAATAGTGAGAGTTCAGTTATCAATGTATATCTCTACTTCAAAAACAACTAAAATTTTAGCATTTAAGTTAAATATTGAGTTTATGAGAAATTATAAACCTTCAGAGAAAGCTGACCTGTCAAGAAATCTATAAGTTTTCTGTGTCACTGTGTAAGTTGAAAAACTCTGGAAAAAAAGGAAACAGTCATTCTCTATCCCCTACTAGAGAAGAACTTACTTATGGGATACTAAAAAGATCCTTGGCATTCTTTGGGGGCAAAGTTGTTGGGATCTACTTTAGTGAAAGAAAATTGGTCTTTAGCAGTCTACTGAGAAAGATGTCAACCATGAAACAGTATGTCTTTGCTAAAATCATTGCAAACTGAGATATAATTTAACTGTGTTAGATGCTAAGAGGTGACGCTTTTTCCCTCCTGAATTGGTGGACATGTGATTTCTGGATAAGAAAAACCAAGTGGTTCTTAAAGTGATGCTGGTGGTAAATATGTGCAACTGTCACTCAGAAATAGATGTTATATACCAGAATACTAATCAAAAAAGAAAACACAGGTTCTAGTCTTTTCTTTTTCTTTTTTTTAAAATACTGTTTAGTTTTCAATGGATTTTAATTTATTTATATGTGGTACTGAGAATCGAACCCAGTGCCTCACACATGCTAGGCAAGCACTCTGCCACTGAGCCACAACTCCAGCCCTAGTATTTTCTACCATCAACTAAACATGACCTTATACAGGTCATATCACTGGGTCTCAATTTCTACTCTAAAATGAGACATTCGCTTCAATTATATATAAGATTTATGTAATCACTAATATGCTCTGATTACTTGCCTATTTAAAAATTTCCTTTGTTCTAATTTAAAGCACTAGTTAATAGTTATAAAAAACAACATGTGCTGGTGTAGTTTTAAAAAACACAGACATAGGCTGGGGTTGTAGCTCAGTGGTTGAGCGTGGTTTGCCATGCATGCGTGAGGCACTAGGTTCGATCCTCAGCACCACATAAAAATAAATAAATAAAACAAAGATATTGAGTCCATCTACAAGTAAAAAAAAATTAAAAACACAGACATAGATAAGTAAATAAAAATCAGGCTATGTGTATAGCACAATGGTATATAGAGTACAGGCTGAGTATGTGCAAGGTCCTGGGGTTTAATTCCCAGCACCCAAAAATAAAAGAAGATAACCCATAATTCCACCCCAGAAATAACTATTTACCTTACTAAAAAGATATATGTGGTACCTTATACCATGCTTTCAGTTAACATGTTTTAAACTTCTTGGTACGACATTAAATGTTCTTCTAAAACATCAATTTTTTTTTAGTTGTTGATGGGCTTTTATTTTTTTTAAATTTATTTATATGCACTAAAATTGAACCCAATGCCTCACACATGTTAGGCAAGTGCTATGCCACTGAGCCACAAACCCAACCCTTGAATTTTTTTTTTTTTAGTCAGCAAGGGGAGAAGGCAGACACCCTAGAGACACTTAGGGGTGTCCCAAGCAAATGCTTCATGCTCTGATATCCATCTCAGGGCTGCGGCTCTTCCATTCATGAATCACCATGTACAGTGCTGCTATCGGCAATAACTGCAACTTCTCTGAGAATCAGAGGACAGAATCAAGCCAAAGAACACTGTCCCTCTAAAATTACTTTCAATGGCTACTAAGTTGGAATGTTCTATCATTTATTAGCCAATTCCTTTCACTGGATATATTTAGGTTATTTTCACTCTTAAAAACACTGTAATGAATATCTGTGTAGCTCCATCTCTGTATATATCTGTAATGAAACCATTGACACTTCCTCACTTACTCTTGGTTGACTACTAATAAGAAATTGCAAAGTCTCTCATTCTGTTGAAATCCTATCAATATGAGAATCTCTTTTACTAGGGGGCAGGGGGTTACCAGTGATGGAACCCAAGGGGCACTTAACCATTGAGCCACACCTCTAGCCTTTCCTTTTCATTTTTTATTTTGAGACAGGGTCTCATAAGTTGCTTAGGGTCTCACTAAGTTGCTGAGGCTGGCTTTGAACTTGCAATCCTCCTGCCTCAGCTTCCTGAGCTGCTGGGATTACAAGCATGAGCCAAGAATCTGACATAAAAAGGAAGGATAAGACTTGATTGGGAAATTTGATTACTCACCAGCATCTTTGATAAAATTATCATAAAAACGCACGGTCCTCGATGTAAGATCACTGAAGGCCATTTTCCACAAGATTTACTGGCTCTTTTAATGGATTCTTCAGAGAGAGAGAAAAAAAAAAAAAAACAAAACAAAACCGAGTTGATGATCTATAAATGAAATAAAGATAAGCTTTTAGTAATACAATATTAAAAATGCTAAAAATTTAATAGGAAAACCTGGCAGAGCAACAAACTTCTACTGAGGGTAAATGCATTAGTGAACCATATTAAGCCCTGATGCAGTTGCAAACATTACAGATGTCCCCTTCTTCTAGGGCCACTGCTAACTTCACTGAAAAAAAGGCTGACAATCTATGTACAAAATACAAAAGAAGTAAATGATTCCCAGAACTTTTATAGGCACAACATAGGTCAGGAGCAGACAGCACCTATGATAGCGAAGCTGAAGTAAAAACCCAGGAAAATAAAGTCAAGATGATACACAAACTTTCAGAAAAGGTACAATAATCCTAGACTTTCAGCTCATCAGCCCCAATAAGATCTTCTATGTGCAAGTTTTTATAATTTAAGTGGAATAGAGGCCGAAAGAGGGAGGAAAAGACCTTTAAGAGTCAAGAGGAAGCTGTTTCATTTATCTGGACAGGTAGACAAAGAAAACTGGAAAAAAAAAATCTTCAGAAAAAAGCAACTATCAGTGAGGAGAAACTAAGACTACTGTGCTGTATAATAAAGGGTATTATAAATCTTCAATAATTAAAATAATGCAGCATTGGTACATGAAAAGACAAATTAATGGAACAGAATAGAACATTCAGAAATATACCAAATACATTTGGGGATTTAAAACTACATTCCAGTAATTCTAAGACATATGCTTTCCCACATCTCTGAAATCAGGGTACACCTTAACAATGGATGATGTGTCATAAAATTAATGGTGTGTTTTATTTAAAGCCATATGGCAGAAAGATGAAAAGTCCTACAGCAGGATGATAGAAGTAGTTGCAAACAATGTAAATGTACTTATGGCCACCAAACTTCACATTTTACAATGGTTTAAATGATACATTTATATTATGTATATTTGTTCTAAGAAAACTGAGACTTTATTCTAAAGAAAGAAAGTCATTTTATTTACATAAAGATAAATAAATAAGACATAGTATATGATAAAGGTGGCATCTGAAATCAATGGGCACCGAATTACTAGCAGTTACTTAATAAATGATAGGGTACAACTGGATAGCCATCTTAAAAAAGAGAGCTGAATTCAAACATTGTATTATAAGCCAAGATAAACTCTAAATAGATCAAATATTTAGCTAAGAAAAACAGAACCATGAAAGCACTAGATGACAACATCTAAGAAGACATTTATAACTTTGGCATGAGAAAGACCTTTCTATGACTCGAAACTCAGAAGACAAAAGAGAAGGCTAACAAATTAACTCTATGAAAATCAAGAAGAAACACAGATGGTGTCATAAGGACAAAGCTCTGAAGAAGCGTGGAGAGTTCAAACAACAACAAAAAATAAATAAATATAAAACAAGGCAACTGATGCTGGCTCCTGAGAAAGGGGCAGAGACCAACAGCATCAAACCAGGGTAATGGGTGGTAAAGTCCTTCTCCTGTGTGTGTGTGTGTGTGTGTGTGTGTTTGTGTTTGTGTGTCTGAGGGGGAGATTACTGAAAACAGTCACTCTGGGTTTTGACTCTGAGGAACTGAAGTCAGATGGGAGTCTCAGCTCCTACTGTCATAGGGAGGGAAAACCTCTGAGATAAGAATTCCAAGATTGCTAGGGAAATTTCCACCGAGATATTAATCAGTGTGGTTCCTGTATTCTTGCTGGAACTGGTTTCTCCATCCTACCCCACCCTCTCTATTTAAACAGAAACAAAGCTTCAAAGAAGTCCTGGAGCATGCTAGACAGAAATATCTGGATGTGTGAGTATGTTCCTTTCCAATGATTTAGTAAGGTCAGAAACACTGAAATATATTAAAATGTGAGGGAGGACTACAAAGCGATAACCAGTTTAAAGCAGGATTTTTCTATCTTGACAGTACTGACATTTGGGCCAGATAATTCTTACTTGTGAGGACTTGTCCTAAGCATTGTACAATGTTTGGAACCAACCCTAGCTTCTGTGCACAAGACAGATGCCGGAAACCCATCCTCCCCAGGGGAGACAACCAATAGTGTCTCCACAAATTGTCAAAAGTCCTCTGGAGGGCAAAACTGTCCAAGGTTGTACATCACCGATTTAAAGTAATTTAGCAACATGTATTCATCCAAATAACAGTATTTGCCTTAAAGTAGTCACTTTGGCAAATGTAGACTCATTTCAGAGATGCTGTTGTTCAAAACAATTTTTGAGCTTTTCTTTATAAATTAACTTCAGAGTTTTCATCATTTTTTAAAATGGTCTTATGGGAGAAAAACCTTTGCCTACTACTTCCAAAAAGCAAATTCATAACTACAAGTTAAGAATGATTTTGAAGGGCTGGGATGTGGCTCAAGCGGTAGCGTGCTCGCCTGGCACGCGTGCGGCCGGGGTTCGATCCTCAGCACCACATACAAAGATGTTGTGTCCGCTGAAAACTAAAAAGTAAATATTAAAATTCTTTCTCTCTCTCTCTCTTAAAAAAAAATAATGGTTTTGAGGAGCTGGAGTTGTGGCTCAGTGGCAGAGCTCTTCCCTGGCCTGTATGAGGCACTGGGCTCAATCATCAGGACCATGTAAAAAAATAAACAAAGTTATTATGTTCATTTACAGTTAAAACAAAAACAAAAAAGAGTGGGTTTGAGGTAAATGTATCAAGTTGAGTCACACTTTATCAGTGGGGTGAAGAAGAAGCAGGCTTAATGATAAAATAATTTACTACTGACATTTTCAGCTTATGGTTTATAAGATAAGACCAACTCCAACAAACAAAGCCAGAAATGTTTTGGGTTATGACAATATTAGTGAAATAAATGTATAGTTTCCTGAGGTGGCTATTTTTAAGGTACCACTCATTTAGATATATATTTATTTCAGCAAAATAATGTAAATTATTTTTTCTTCCTCACCCATTGCAAATCCCCAATTAAAAGCAAGTGAATTTAGAATGTGAAACAGACCAGTGAAAATCATTTCAAATAACAAACGTTCAAATCTGTTAATAATTACTATATATGTACATGTGTGCTGTAATATTAACATATATATATATATATATATATATATATATATATATATATATATAGATAAAAACAAACACATACTCATTACAGAAGCAAAAATGTGTGTACACCACACCTACCACAAAGGAGTTTGCATTTTGTTCTGACAGTTCATATTAACTTACATTTCTCCTTGGTAATTCCTTTATTGTCCTCCCTTTTTGCCATTTCTCTCAATTTAACCTTGGTTATGCACATTGCCAATAAGGGTCAGGCCTTGTTGCCAGGGTAGAACTGGGACAGGCTGAGAGGGCCTAGGCAGGCACAGAGTTTCTTCTGCTCCAGTGTGGTGCCAGAGCAGCAGAAAGACTTCTTAGTACCCTCATTCAACATGGAAGTATTGCAGAAGAGCCGTAGAGAATGAAGGAGTCACATGAGTACAAACAACATGTATCTCTTCAGACAAGTGGCCAAAGACCTGATGGGACTCTGGATATTCAAAGGATGGCAATGTAGCAGAAATAGCAAAGAACACAATAGGGGGTAGGGTAGGGGGCTAAAATGTTCCTCTTTGCAATGACCTTGATACTACATAAGCTCCTTGTAACTTGTTAAGGAATGGGGGGGGGATACTCTCTATCACCCCCCAAAATAAAAGTTATGTTCTTATATCAGACAAAATAGACTTAAAGTCAAAAACTGTTGCAAGAGACAAGTCATACTGTGATGATAAATGGGACAAGTAATCAAGAGACTATAATAATTATAAATATGTATGCACCTAACATCAGAGCACCTAAGTTATTAAATATATTAAAATCAAATATTACAGATATGAAGGGAGAAATAGGCTGTAATACTATTGAAATTAATAAGGAAACATAGGACAAAAAGTATGCTTTAGAACAAATGGACTTAACAGATATATATAGAACATTCTATTCAACAATAGCAGAATACACATTCTATTCAAGTGCACAAAGAACACTCTCCATCATACACTATATGTTGGACCACAACACAAGTCTTAAGAAATTTAAGAAGACTGCTAGACACAGTCATGCCCTCCTGTAATCCCAGTTACTCAAGAGGCTAAGGCAGGAGGATCACAAGTTAGAGGTCAGCCTCAGCAATTTAGCATGATCCTAAGAAACCCTTTCTTAAAATAAAACAATAAAAAGATCTGGAGATATGGCTCAGTGGTAAAGCACTCATGGGTTCAAACCTCAGTACCAAACCCAAACACACACACACACACACACAAAAAAAAAAAAAAAGAAAGGAACAAAGAAATTTAAGAAGACTGAAATCACAACCACAATGGTATGAATGTACAAATCAGTAACAGGAGGGGAAACGGAAAATTCACAAATATGTAGAAAGTAAAAATGTGCTCCTGGACAATGAACAGGTCAAAGAAGAAACCAAAAGGAAAATTTTAAAATATCTTAAGACAAAGGATGTTGGAAACAAAACTCACCAAAACATATAGAATGTAGCAGTTCTGAGAGGTAAGTTTATAGCACTAAATGCCTATATTAGAAAAGAAGAAAGAGTTCAAATTTTAAAAACCCTAACATTACACCTCAAGGAATGAGAAAAAGAAACTAGTCCAAAGCCAGCAGAAGCAGATTACAGTAGAAATAAATGAATACTAGAATGACAATAAAATAAAGTAACTAAAAACATAAGGGTTCGTTTTATGAAGGGAAAAATATTGAAAAAAAATCTTTAACCAGAGTAAGAAAAAGACAACTCAAATAAACATGAAAAATGAAAAAGGAGCTATTACAACAGACACCAGAGAAATACAAAGGGGTCATGTCAGTACAGATTTTTTCTGTTTTCTGTATTTCTTATATAAGTCAGTGGTTCCCAAATCTGGTTGAAAATCAGAATCACTGGATTTGGAGTCAGTTAGCGTTTGGGGGAGTT